GGGTTTTTCTCATCACTGGATCTTTTACCACAATGTCTTTGTTTGTGGATTCTTTGTTTGATTCAGCCCTTAATTATCTTGATATCACTTTTCAAGTAGTTTGGTTTAAATGGGTACTAAATTCCCTGATATTCTTCGTGTTTGAAAATGAGTGCTAGCTGCCTTTATACTTGCAGAACCTCTTAGCTGCGTATAAGATTCTTGGGTCAACCTTTCTTTTTCTCAGGACTGTGCAAATATTGATTGACTGTGTTTTGCCATTGAATAGTGCTGCGGAGCAGTCTAAAGGCAGCCTTATTTCCTCCCTTGTTGTTAATTTGCATTTTCTGCCTGTATGACTGAACAATTATCTCTTTATTCTTAAGTTCAAATAGCTTAATTAATTGAAGTTCCTAAGCAATGAGAATTCTGCATCAAATCACGTTGGAGCATAGATTTATTCCTTCTAAGTATAGATTCAATTTTTCCTCAGGTACAATTTTCTTATGTCATAAATATATCTTCTGCCTCATTTGTTAGGTTCTCAATTTTTTTAAGATTTTATTTATTTATTTATTTATTTATTTATTTATTTATTTAGAGCATGAGCAGGGGGAGGAGCAAAGGAAGAGGGAGAGAGAGAATCTCAAGCAGACTCCATGCTGAGCTCAGAGCCCAACTCAGGGCTCAATCCCACAACCCTGAGATCATGACCTGACCTGAAATCAAGAGTCGGATGTTTAACCAATTGAACCATCAAATACCACATTGTTGGATTCTCTATTTTAAGGATACTAATTATCCTTATGTTGTATCATCCTTTTTTCCCTAACTGTTAACTCATCTCCAAATAATTTCATCTTTTTATATTTTTCATAGTATTTCCTTATCTCAAGCTTTTCTTCTATGTCATTAATTTTTTTATCATTATTTAAAATCAATTAGCCACACCTAGTACATGTCATTTTATTTTTTACCAGTATCTATTCTGTTTCTTATAGCTTCTACTTTATTTTTAGTTCCATGATCATGTGATTTGGTCCTCAATTTAGTCTTTTAAGTCTGTGATCTCCTAAGATTGTGAGAAAATTCTTTATGTTTCTTAATTTTATTTTCTTCTAAGTATTATTTTTTTCATATTCTGTCTCCCTCTCTTTCCCCTTTCTCTCTTCCTCTCTCCCTCTCTCTCTCTGTCCCTCCCTCCTCACTGCTTCTTTTCTATTTACTCATGTTCATACTTGCAGAATTCTTCTCCATGTGTCCTGTTTGTTCTAGTATAGTGTAGGTGAAATCTTGACACATCCCAATTAAGATTAGTTTGATTTTTCCTCTGAACTACAGTTTGAGGCCAATGTTTTTCATTCCATCTACTCTCAAGTATGCTAAGAAATGTTGGAGGGTGGGGGGAGATGAGAGATGGCAATGTCTGTTAGAATACATGGGCTCTGCTCTTTCTTTTAAGGTTCTGCTAAATTTCTTATCTGATAATCCACCCCACCTAATTGGAGGTTTATCTCCTTTCCATGGAGGGGGGGCGGGTAACTCTATGGCTTTATGTCACTTCCCCACTCTAGTTCCAGAATGTCTACCTCTTTAGAGATGCAGACCCATTCTCACCCATTTCTCCACAGCAGTTGTTGCCACTATTCTGGTCAGAACAAGGAAAAGATCAGCATTTTAATTCCACTAGTTTCTTTCCAGATTTTGAAATACAAATGAGAAGTCTTATGATTTTGTGGACTTGCCAGTAGGGCTTCTGAGACTGGTGGTGAGGGTCAGGAGCTGAGGCATGCTGCCTCTCTATAATCCCCATTTTTTTCTTAGAACCGGATTTTGAAGTTTACTGAATTATGTTATGCCACTGAGGTTGCTTATAATGTCTTTGGGGGGACCTGGTTTTTCACTTTTCCCATATTGTACGTATTATGGGAAGACAATTTAGTGCAACCTTAATGTAGTTGAATAACACTCCCTGTCCAAAGTCCTGGGCTCATATTGTCTCTTAGACATTCACTGGTGAGTGAAGCAAGTCCAAGACATTTCATTCTGACACTGGTCAGAGTTCATGACAGGGTATTAAAACAGTCCACTGTGGCATGAAAAAAAAAACAGCATGCCCTTAAAGTGTCCCCAAACATATCTTGTTGTCTAGGGAGGGAGATATTACTTTAACCCTTTACATGTGTCACTAAAGACTTACCTCTTTCCGTGTCTGAGCCCCTCAGAAATCAATATTCTAATTAGAAAACAGTAGCTAATCTGACCAAATGCTAATAAATGAGAGTTGTGATTTATCTAGCAACAGGGAAACAACTCAGCATTAACAAAAGGTCTGTAGAGAAGAGAGCTTTTTTTTTTTTTTCCTCTCTCTCTTCTCCTTAGCTGATTGGGTTCAGCCAGGTGCTATAAATAGTCCTCTAGTTAATGGCTATCTGTTTGAAAGTCAGTCATTAGAACCATAGTTTAGGAACTTTTACCTCTGAGATTCATAGGCTCTATTCAATTTCTCAATGATAAGGATAAGGAAATGGTGATGTAAGTTAAACCTGAATCTACTTATCTATAAAGACCAAACTACATCATAGCCTACCAGGGTGCTCCTCAGGCTTTATTTTAACAGATACAGATTTTTAAATAATCAGTTCAACTGCAAGGAGAAGTATTAATCACGAATAGAGCCAAAATGGTTGACTAAAGCCTGTTGCATTCTAGTCATTTTCATATAGTTACAGGATAAAGTCGAAGTTTATATCAAAGGCATGAGTTTGCAATTAGCTGAACAAGGTCCTTAGAAATCTCCAAAGAATTACTTTTTCTACATTAAACAAATCAACTGAGTAGTTACCTTTACTTTAACCTGAACAAACAGATCAAGGGGGAGAAATAGTACGTCTAAATCAAATTGAATGGTGATCTAGAGAACACTTTCCAGAAGGACCCTCTTTGGGAAATGCCACTCAGTGCTAGAGTAAATCTCATATTTCAGTGGAGGGTTTGTCATTCACAGTAGAAGCACGTTTTAAGTGTTTCCTTTTGGTATTTTCTATTTCACCCAATATGGTCTACTTACATGATACCCATGCAGAGCTCCTAGCAGGTCCCGGAACCTGCCATATTGTTTCATGACACCAAGCATTTATTCAAACTGTTTCCATTATGTAGATGGCCTTGTCTGGCCCTCAACCACTCAAGACCTAGCTTTAACGTAATTTCCCCTGTTCAAAGCCCACTACCACCACCACCCTCCAACCTGAGGAAACTTATTACCACCTCCTTTGGGCCTCCACCTTATCTGTACATCTTTCTGTCTTAACATTAGTATACTTTAATTCCACTTGATTGGTTTCTTGTTCATCTCTCCCCAGGGAGAAGGTCTTATTCCTATTCATATAAACAATAACTATATGCTTGTTGAATATACAAGTGATCATTCAACCACTATTGAGCACCTGCTCTTTGCCATTACTTGCTAGAAGTAAAAAAGACATAGATATTTTTTAAATCTCTAGTCTCAATGAATTCATGACCCAGTGGGGGAGACTAGACTTCTCTACAACTAAACTCAGTAAGCCTAAGAGAGGGGTCTGGACAAGTGCTGAGACTGAGCTATTAATTGGCAAGGCAGCGAACATGTAAAATCCCCATGTTTTAATATATCTTCTATGGTTTTCATAATCCAAACACACCTGCTTCAATTATATGTTTCACATTGCTTGCTAATGTCTTCTTGGCATAGTCTAAACCTATGCTTCTCAAACTAACATTCACAGAAATCACCCCGGGATTTTGTTAAAATGCAGACTCGGATTCAGTACGTCTGTGGCAGGGACTGGGATTCTGCATTCCTAACAAGCTCCCAGAGGATGCCACAGCTGCTGGTCCACAGACCACACTTGAGGATCAAGGCTCTAGACACTTGTCATGTCAACACATAAACATAGTTGAAGTGGCATCAGTCTTTGGAAAAGCTCCCACTGCTCCTTACCTAGGTAGTCTTCTAGGTATAATTAAACATGATGAAAGTTACACCAAGAGAAGTAAGATTCAATAGTGTCTTCCCTCAAAAAACTGATGCCTTGAAATGGTTACTTCTTAGCCTTTTTAATTTCTAAACACAAGAGGTCTTCATTCCTGCACTTGAGGTCTGCGGCTACCAGAACTCTGTGGTCTGAATGTGTAGCAAGATTTTCCCAAATCTTCAAGATTGCCATTTTTAAATTTCCCCCATACTTATAATACCCAGGACCTTCCTGAAAATGGAGGTCTTTTAACAAAACTACAAAACCTTAATCACCTTAAACAATCATAAAGGACAAATATGGTGAAAAATGAAATTAAAGAGAATTTTGGAAAATAAATACCAAGTCATTTTATGTATAAAAAAATCATAAAAGAAATACTTTTTTAATGCAACTTGCTTAAAATAAACATTGTAAGGTATCCATGGAAATCTAGGTTCTTATTAACTCTTAATTGTTCCTATGACATCTATTTACTTTTTCAGTTTGTCAGAGCCTGCAATTCATCATCAAAGTCAAAACTCACTAGACCATGAGACTTTGGGCCCCCACCCTACCTATGCATTTCTGTCATGTGTCAGTTTTGAATTCTCCTTCCACAAAGGCAAGATCCCTATTTGATTCCTACTTGAGCTGTCCTCTTTTGCAAGTGTTCTTCCTCTTTTCCTCATGACTCCAACCAGACCAAGTGTCCTGTGCGTATCTTTTCCTAAGCATGTAGAGAAGACATTACAAGTCTTCGTAGCTGCTATTCAACACCATCTTCATTACAGTAATATGTTATTTGAGAAACAGTCTTGGTTATTTGGTTTTCTCTTACACAGTTAGTTATTGCATCACTTTCCCTAACAACACAACAGTGAATGAAACAGTAGTAGAATTGTTTTTATCATACAGGACATTTGGAAGGCACTGGATGCCTTAGCTTGCTTGATGTCAGAGTATGGAGAGCACTCTTCTAAATGTTCTTTCTTCCTTCTTACCACTCATGGTCTCATTTAGGTTAATGCCAAAGATGATGAAGGCGTCCTTGTTGGATCCTGGGACAATATCTATGCCTATGGTGTCCCCCCATCAGCCTGGACTGGAAGTGTTGACATTCTGTTGGAATACCAGAGTACTAAGAATCCAGTCCAGTATGGTCAATGCTGGGTTTTTGCTGGTGTCTTTAACACATGTAAGTAGCCAATTGAGTAACTTTTTTTTAATGTAGAAAGGAATTTTACTTCAATACATTTTATCTATAAACTAGCAAAGAGACCTAGCAACCCTGTTAGCTCTCTAGAATTTATAGATGGCTATTCTGGGATGTAGTCAATGCATAATTAAATTGTACTGGGCCAAATATGCTCATAGTTTCTCTTTGGCTGCAGAATCTTTATAGAAAGAATGATGGACTATTTCCTACATAATCCATCATTCAACACCCAGAGAAATGGGGGTCCCAGGGGCCAAGAAATGATGTGAGGGAAAGGATATGCCATTTTCTTTTCAGTAACCTCCCACATTTTAAAAAGATTAAATTAACAAAATTTAGAATGATAAATAATAATAGATATATACTGCTTATTTGTTATTGAAAAGTGTTATAAATATGTTTATTAGCTTATTATTTACCACTGAGAGGTTTAATAAATATATGCACTTAATTTTAACCCTAGCTGTGGGAGAGATTGTGACGGGTGGTTTCATCTCCATTTTTACATGGGAATCTCAATGCCCCTGAGCAATTAGATATCCGAACTTAATAAACAATCTTTACTCCCCACTTTCCCTTCTGGTTTTTAATCTACCCAACATCTAATCTATAGAGGAAAACATATGGGAACAGAATTATTCTCTTCAGCTCCATGCATCATTTTTTGAAATGCCATTTGCCTGTCTAGGCCCAGACAATATTATTGTTAATTCAGTGAATATTTTTAAAAATACATTCATTTCGGTATGTCTTCATCATTAGTAATGATTTTCATTCACTTGCCATTTCTACAACCTTGGAGAAAACATTAAGCTCAAGTTGGAGTGTCCTTTCTGCTTGCTCATTAATAAAGAATGTTTTACCTAGTTAGCATTTTTCTTTTAATCAGAAAAATCAAGGAGGGGCTAGAGGCTGGAAGCCAGGATGAGGTCTTTTTTTATAAATGATCATGAAGCCTCACAGTTTTAGCTCAAAGTTGCAACAGTCCAAGATTAGTCAGTGATCCAAGTGGGAAGAAATTATGCATCTTGTGCTTTTGTTTTTCTATGGTATTAAACTGAATAAGATTATTTTCTTAGCCAGTTGAGTATACCCAAGGGCTAAGGGAATATATTTCCTGAGAGCAATAAAGGCCAGTGTATCGGTTTCCTAGGTGTGCTGGTCTCTGAGGTTCTAGATAGAAGCTGAACTTCATGATGGGCTAACAATTAGAGGTAGCCCCCCTCCCTCACTGTTCCCAAGCCCAGACTATGTAGAGGGTGCCTGATGGGAGCGGCTACTCTTAGGGTATGAAAGGGTCATCAGATCTATCCCTGAAAAAAGGATTTGGTGGTAAGCTAAGAAAAAGACAGAAGCACATGTGAGGAAGTCACAGTAAGAATAAACCCCAAGAGGGAAGTTGGAAGGAAGGAGGCATAGGTGCCCCAATGTCAGGCTTCACCTGTCTTAAAATTACGAGGTCAGGCAAAATCTGGAACAATTCTCGTTCTGTGAGTTAGTGGTAAGCCAGAAATAGAGCTAGAGTGCCAATCATCTTACTGGTAAAACTTTGGCTTGAATAGGGTCTGTGAATCAATACAGGAAGATGGAAGTAGGAAGCAGGTGGTAGCTGCTTTCATTTTTGTTTGGGGTATTAAGATTAAGTCAGTTAATGAGGACACTTGAATGCTACCAGACTCAAGGTTGGACTTCCAAGGTTGTTCTATTGAAGGAGGTGCATAGCCTTTGGTTAAAAATGCTAAACTATTCTGAGAAAAAAAAGGCAAGCCAAGCCATTAATCTTAAAATTGTCAGCTGAATTATTTTCAATGAGCCCTGATGTCTGGCATCCTGGGAGCCAGGGAGGGCATTTGGATTGAGTTTAATCAATAGGTACATATGGCAAAAGATGCATCCAGGTAATTTATTATCTAGCAATTAAAATGAATCTGTGGTGTCACCCTCCACCAAGTGTCATGAGAGCAAATTCCAGCCAGGAGAGCAAACCCCACTGAGGACCTCTGTTATAACTTCCTATTAGCTGAGGGGTTTTTTTTTTCCAGTTAATTTTTTTTTATTAGTTTCAGAGGTAGAATTTAGTAATTCATCAGTTGCATATAACACCCAGTGCTCATTCCATCAAGCACCCTCCTTAATGCCCAGCACCCAGTTATCCCTTCCCCCCACCCACCTCCCCTCCAGCAACCCTGTTTGTTTCCTAGAGTTCAGTGTCTTTTATGGTTTGTCTCCCTCTCTGATTTCATCTTATTTTATTTTTCCTTCCCTTCCCCTATGTTCATCTGTTTTGTTCCTTAAATTCCGCATACAAGTGAAATCATATGGTATTTATCTTTCTCTGGGGCACCTGAGTGGCTCAGTCAGGTAAGCCTCTGACTTCAGCTCAGGACATGATCTCAGCATCCTGGGATCAAGCCCCGCATCAGGCTCCCCACTCAGCAGGGGAGTCTGCTTGTCCCTCTCTTTCTCTCTCTGCCCCTCCCCCGGTTTGTGCACTCTCTCTCTCTCAAATAAATAAATAAAATCTAGCTGAGTTTTTAAAAAAAATTTATTTTCAGGAACATAGTTTTATTAGATGGACTAAAATAATACTACTTTAGTGATTGTATGATTAGCAACTAAACAATTAGAACCCCATTATTGGGATTTTAGTACTTTTATTCCATTTATTCTGAATGATCACACAGCAAGGTGCACTCCATAGTCCTGAAGCTTGACAATAGTCCCCTTTCTTCAGTATGGAACATTTGATAACACGTGCAAAGGGTTTTTCTTTTTGGTAAAGAAGGAAGTCCCTTATGATAAGGAATTGTTCACTATATATTTATTAAATTTTGGTGATGGGTTTAGTTGTGGTCTGTCCTTTCCTGCAGTTTTGCGATGCCTTGGGATACCAGCAAGAGTCGTTACTAATTACTTCTCAGCCCATGATAATAATGCCAATTTGCAAATGGACATCTTCCTGGAAGAAGATGGGAACGTGAACTCCAAACTCACCAAGGATTCAGTGTGGTGAGTTTGATTTACAAGGGCACTTGCTGATATCAAATTAGAGTGACAATACACATTAACCACAAGACAGACTGGGTCTAATGTTTCTTTCCCTTCTATTTTAAGGACTGTTCAATACCATAGGCAGAAATGTCTGATTGGTAGAGATTGTTTTTAGCGAATGAATGAGAATTGTTACTGCACAGGCAGTTTGCGTTTCTAGTAATAAAGATCAATCATTGCATTACGACAGCAACCACTGAAAAGGGTCATGGTTTTAGCTATGCCTTTAGGCTAGAGCCCACACTAGTTCCTCTCTACTTTAGTATGAGAATATTATGGTGAGTGGCAGAGGTATTGGACCTGAGTATTCTCTATGTCAATGTTCCAGGAATAATATAGCTAACATTTATTAAGCACTTACTATGTTATGTATCAGTGTCTGTGTGTACATGATTGTATTTTATTCTTTTAACAGCTGTATCACATGGGTGCTTATTAGTATCTCCATTGACAGAGGAGGAAACTGAGACCCAGAGAGGTTAAAGTAATTTGCTCAAGGTCACACTTCTGATAAGCTGAGAATAAAACCCAAGTGCATCTGACCATTAACCACAATTTTTTTTTTGCCTTTGCATTAGTCAGTTCTCTTTTTTTAACGATTTATTTATTTATTTATTTTAGAGAGAGAGGGAGAGAAAGAGAGTGCACAAGTTGGGGGAGGGGCAGAGAGAGAGAATCTTAAGCAGACTCCCTGCTGAGTGTGGAGCCTCACCTGGGTCTCGATCTCACAACCCTCAGATCATGACCTGAGCAAAAATCCAGAGTCAGATGTTCAACTGAGTGAGCCACCCAGGTGCCCTAGGTATTGCTCTTTGAATGTAAAGATGTGGTTCTCCGTGATTTGTGACCTCATCTTTCAAACAGAGATAGGAATGGGAGTAAAGTTGAAATTGTCACTAATACCAACCACATCATTCTTTCATTGCCCTGAGCAGCTACACCACAAGCTGGCTACAGGGGGTTTAAGATCCCAAAGAAATTTCCCATGTCCATGGGACCCACTCAGTCCAAAACAATATTCTAAAAAGAGGGGAAAAAACCCAAACATAAGGGATATTTATGAAGGTCTGTATGGGGGAAATTGCCAGGCACTGAACTAGATGGAATATCCAAGCCAAAAGCGTGTCACCTCAGGTTGTTCTTTATAAGTAATAAAGTGAAAAGACTGTCAGTTGTAAAAGCATCCACATGGGGATGGGAAGAAGTTACGAGCTCATTTGAAGAGAAATTAAAAGGTAGAAGTGCCTTAACTCCCCCGTGTTACAGGAATGGTTCACAGTGGGAGGAGCAGTATTAACTTGCCAGTACTGGTAAACGCTCACTGGAGGATGTGGCAAGAAGGAAATCCGGGAACTGGCAGCGGAGTGGTACTTTGAATAAAAAACAGTGCAGTTCATTTGAAGGGAATGAGCTGGGCAGTGGTAAGCAAGAAAGTACAGGCAGGACAAAACCTCACCTCTGTAAACTGAACAGCAATTTAAAGCATCATTTAAGCCCTTGGAATTATAGTATAGCAGCCCAGCATGTATATGGGATAACAAAAACAGACCAAAATAGCTGCCCCTAAAGCCTGCTGTGACAGTAGAAAATAGCAAAATGAGAATTATTTGGTATTCTGTACTGTGCACCTTTCATTACACACACACACACATGCACACGCACACACACACACGCACGCACACGCACACACACGCACACACATGCTTAATGCCTTGGTAGCCAACTGCAGTTTGAAATTATTCCTCCCTATTCCTTGATCTAAATGCTTCCACCATGAACCCCCATGGGCACCCTAACAAATAACCCCACGAAGCCCTAAACAAAATTGATAGTAAATTGTAAAGCTGATAGATCTTGCTCTTGGTAACGCTCTCGTCTTTCTGCTTCCTACTCTGAATTCCTTTCCCTGTCCCTGTGAACTTTCACTCCCTCATTACCCTCCACAAATGTCCCATCACCCTGGGACTATGTTCCCTGGTCTGGGGGACTCACCCATGCTCCACCATCGACCATTGCCCTGGGCTCTTATTCCCTCCCCTTGTTTGGCTCATGGTGGGTTTACAACATATGGTGACTGCTGTCTCACTAACTGGCTGATGTGAACTCAATTTGGGACACGTCTGACCATGGAACACAAAGATTAAAGGGCTCAGTCAGGTCTGAGTCCAAAGCCTGGCTCTGCCACTGACCAGCTGTGTGACCTTAGGCCAGGCACCACCTCTCTGTGCCTCTTTCCTTCTCTTAAAGTAGAGATGACAGAATTTCCTATTTCACTCAGCCCAGAGCAGAGCATAACAGGTGCCTAATGAATGTTAGCTGTCATTATTGCCTTCATTATTAGTCACACAGCTGGAATTTCTTGGAGGCAATATGTTGCCATCAACCTAAGCACATTGAAGCAGTCAGAAAAAAAGAGGGGTATCCCATGTCCTAAGATGACTGTGCCATTTCTGTACCTTTGGGGTATTTTTAAAACAAAAGCAGAAGTTTATGTCTCCGCTCCACACACACTCCCCAGTGCAAACACTAGTGGACCCTACAAACTATAGAAGTTCTGTAAAACCAAAAGAATCTCTAGGGCCCTCCCTGATTGAGAAAGCCAGTGGGGACTTTCCCTGGATACATCAATCAGTACATGGTCACCACAGCCACACCGCCACACAAGCTCTGGCCTTGACAGTTACTTGCTGTGTGACCTTGAGAAAATGACTTCACCCCTGAGCTTTGGTTTCTTCATCAGTAGAATGAGGGTAACCATTTCCTGATGGGGTAGCTGTGACATTTAAATGAGGTAATAAAGGTAAAGGACTTACCATAGTGCTAGGCCCAGAGGGAGTGCTCCTCGGTGCCTGCTAATGAGATTAGTAATAGCCAGGGGTGAGAAGCAGGAGGGGCCTGAGCTATAGCTTGGTGAGCAAGCAGGGGGCAGGGCAGAAGGCTAGAGGCTGAGGTGAGGGCAGGGAGGATTTGGTGGCCATCAGCTGACCATTGAGAAGCCATCACGGCATGGCTGACAACACATGGCCCAACGAATTTCCTAGCAGGGGTCTCAGGAGCAAATGGCCTCCACCAAGCCCCCAGACTCAATTCTTTCCACAGGCTCCAGTAGGACAAACTCGCCCCAACTCCCTCCTGGTTTGTGCATGGCTCTTGCCTTCCCTGCCCTGCCCCCTCCTCTCCTCCTCCTCTCTCTAAAGGCAACCATGAGAATGACTTCTTGGTTTCTCTGTTTTGTGCCTCTACCATCTCTTTAACACTGAGGTATCCTGATGGTACACAGTTCGTGGTGAATTAATTTGTCCAACTGGGTCTCCGTGACTGTGACCGAAGGCGTCCTCTTTGGCCAGGTCCAGCATGGCCAAAGCAGAAGTAAGCCAGTACAAAGGGCTCAGAGAGCCAGTGCAAGAATGCTTTCAAGGGCATATTATGCGTGGCACTCCCCAAGGCCATGGGGGCCGGGGGCGCAAAGCATGGATTTCAGCCCACACTCTGACTCTTCTCCCTTTAACACCAAAGACCATGGAGGGCTGACTGCTTATGTGCCTGCTTCCTGGTTTGGCACCTCAGGTCCCTCCATGGTGGATTTCCCCTCTGAGAGTGCCTCACCTCACAGGGAGCAGCAATTTTGCAGAGTGGGACACACTGTTGATGCCCACAGAGGGAAGAGTCTGCTTCTTAGAGATTCAGGAGAGGGAGGGGCCAAGGAACCTTAGAAGGGCACAGCTGGGCAGAGTAATTGGACCTCACTGTAGCAAATGAAATTCTGAGTGGACCAACGCAAGGTAACATATCCTGGAAGGAGCAATTTAAGCCGCCTGTCCCCCGTGTGCCGATGGGTTTTGAATTATATGTAACCTCTGGAGGAAGGCAACTATGAATCACTGCGGACAGTTTAATGAGGATGCTTGCACAATGTTTAGCTGCAGTGCAAACAGTGAATAGGGAGATGAAGGTTCATTGAGGAGGGAGAACACGGCTCACTTCGTGGGCAGGTGGTAAAGTGATGGTTTGGCCTCACCTTGCAAGAAAGAGCTCAGTTTGATCACCTCATTATATGACTATCACAGTGGAAATGGAAACAATTTCAAAAGAAAGGGATGGTGGCACTTATTAGGGTCATGAAGGTATTTCAGTGAAAGGCTCTTCTCCTTCTAAATGAAAGCATTATCCTGTGTCCTTTTTGCTGGAGAGGATGTAGTCAGATTTGATGATTCTGGGCTGAAAGAACTATGCCCACCTCTTGGCTGGCCCCCACCAGACTGCAGCCCCCATGGGGGAGAGCAATGTCTGATCTAATTTGTTTTTGTTTGTTTTGCCAGCATGTAACCGGGTGCAGGGCATAGAGCAAGGGCTTAATAAATGGAATTGGTTGGAAAAAATTTTTGATGCTCATTTAATTGAATAAATGTCATTTAATTCATTCAACAAACACTATTGTGCACTATTATGTCCAAATACCAGATTCTAAGGAATCGGAGAGAAATTAGAGTCTCTCCCCTTGAGGAGCTAGTTCGTGGGCGAGTCAATCACATGTAGAACTCTATAAAAAATATAAGGTAGGTTGTAACATGAGCCAGGAGGCATGCAGATGAGGGGAAGGGGCTGCCATCCTAAGCCCAGGGGAGCAAAGGGAAAGGCTGTTCACATGGGAAGTGGCCATGGACTCAAAGCCATTATCCTCCCCGCAATCTTCTGGTTGTGCTGTTCACAGACGGAATGCCCAGGAAATGACCTTAGCCCACAGATGAAACTCAGGGGTATGTCTATAAAAGTCAAAAGCCCTGAGATGAGATAACCTGAGAGAGATCAATCTGCTTCAAGGACCCAGCAGGAAGGAATGAAAGCTCATACACAGTTAGCCTATATTCTTATGAGCACAGTTGTTGAATATTAAAACTCGTTCAACTCACCTTCCAGCCCCTTTCCACTCCTGCCTTTATATCAAGAACACCTGGCTC